TCTGGCATGCCCAAGAGACGCAACTCTGCACAGCGAATCCGGCGCACCCCGGATGGATCGGGTGATCCGACTGTGATTTAGTTGATTGCGCGTCATCGTACCTTGACTGCTTGGAGCGATACTCGCAGTATCAATCTCGTCTAGTTCTCTTTAGGTCTACCGTCATTTCGCTGGACTAATTCAAGCAACAAACAAATAAACAAAACGACGTGAAACAGATTGGACAACCGGATTGAAAACAGTTCTGATTAACATATTTGATTTTTGAAAATATGCGACAAGGTCAAGGTGTCGTCATATATTTATTATTCAAACTTGTAACTGAAATCAGTTGACTCGTTTCCGGCAAAAATCATCAACTTAAACACGGTGTTAAAGATTACACTATTCATCGCACTTCAAAATCACCATAGACACAGAATCGCTGTTGTAGATTTTGGTGCTTTCATTAATATAAAATAAGGCTTGTTACGTGTGTGAATAATTAAGTAATTAAAGCAATAATTGAATTATATGTTTTGTCTCTTTTTAACACAAAGCCGTGTCAAGATGTGGTACATGTTAAAATTTGTTTGTTTGTTTGTTTGTAGTTTACCGCCTCACTCATCGATGTTCCAGCTATATGACGGCGGTCTGTAAATAATCGAGTCTGGACTAAACAATCCAGTGATGGACATCATGAGCATCGATCCATACAAATGGGATACGATGACATGCATCAAGCAAGTCAACGAGCCTGACCCCCCGATCCATACCATACCTGCAGAACAACACCTGTCATCCACCAGACACACAACAGTCTCACCATACCTGCAGTACAACACCTGGTATCCACCAGACACACAGCAGTCTCACCCTACCTGCAGTACAACACCTGGTATCCACCAGACACACAACAGCCTCACCATACCTGCAGTACAACACCTGTCATCCACCAGACACACAACAGCCTCACCATACCTGCAGTACAACACCTGGTATCCACCAGACACACAACAGTCTCACCCTACCTGCAGTACAACACCTGGTATCCACCAGACACACCACAGCCTCACCATACCTGCAGTACAACACCTGTCATCCACCAGACACACAACAGCCTCACCTACCTGCAGTACAACATCGACCATCATCCAAACACACAGTAGCATCACTATATCTACAATACAACACCTGCCATCAACCAGACACACAACAGCCTCACCATACCTGCAGTACAACACCTGGTATCCACCAGACACACAGCAGTCTCACCATACCTGCAGTACATCGACCATCATCCAGACACACAGTACCATCACCATATCTACAATACAACACCTGCCATCAACCAGACACACAACAGTCTCACTATACCTGCAGTACAACACCTGGTATCCACCAGACACACAGCAGTCTCACCATACCTGCAGTACAACACCTGGTATCCACCAGACACACAGCAGTCTCACCCTACCCGCAGTACATCGACCATCATCCAGACACACAGTACCATCACCATATCTACAGTACAACACCTGCCATCAACCAGACACACAACAGTCTCACCCTACCTGCAGTACAACATGTAACATGAAACAGACACACAACAGTCTCACCATACCTGCAGTACAACATCAACCATCAACAAGACACACAGTACCATCACCATACCTGCAGTACAACATCTACCATCAACCCGACAGACAGTGGCCTCACCATACCTGCAGTACAACACCTGCCATCCACCGAACAGACAGCAGTCTCATCAAACCCGCAGTACAACATCTACCATAACCCAGACACACAGCAGTCTCGCCATATCCTCAGTACAACATCTACCACCAATGAGACACACAACAATATCACTGTACCTGCTTAACAACATCTACCATCAACCCAAAAAATAGTTAAAAATGAAAACCCATGTTGCACTTGATACATTGATTGTGTGTAGACCTGTATTCATTTGTATGAACACACAAGGAAGGGTATACGTATTGTGACGGACCAGGACTGGGCCGGACTGATGCCGGTTTTGTAACAGCGAAACTCTGACTCCAACATAACTACTCCCCTCCCCCTACTACCCCCCAACACACACACACACACACACACACACACACACACACACACACACACACACACACACACACACACACACACACACACACACACACACACACACACACACACACACACACACACACTCACACACACACTCACACACTCACACACACACTCACACACTCACACACCTACAAACACAATATACTGAACAGTCCTTGTTTTATACCAGTAAAGCCGAGCGCGGGATAGGGAAATACGAAGTACTCTCTTTTTACGTCTTTTGGAATGACGCTCACATTTCCGGTCAAACCACATATAGTACATCACAATGGCGGTCTCGTTTTATAACCACGGAAACAGAAAGAACTATACGTGAGCAATTTAACCTCCATTGCAGTTTCTTCGAGGGCGTTGAGAGGAATGCTGACAGTTGCTAATGCCCCTCTATAATATTCTAGCATGGCGATCCAATCCTCGTTTCCCAACAACCGAAGCCTGATGGGGCAACATAGCGGGTTGGGTGATGAGGCTCGGTGACGTGGTTCATTGCGTGCCATCATGCCTCAAAGACGTGGGGCGTTCCTCAACATCTCAGTCACTGGTTTGTCTGATCCAGACTCAGCTATTTGAAAATATTGATAAGTGCAGAGCTAAACAACTCTAAACAAAACGAAATCCAACTGTAATGTTAGTTAGTTGGTATTGTAATGTACAGGGGCTGGGGCTTCGTTGGAAATGGGTTGGCTCCTCATGTTGAACGCCCGTGTTCGTTTTACCACATGGGTAAAGTGTGTGAAGCCCCTTCTTGTTTCCCCCGCCGTAATAATGCTGGCATGTTGCTAAAGGTGTGGTATGTTGTATACAATGGAACAAATATATGTCAGATATACTTCATTGGTATTGTGCGTTATAAAAAACGGGGCGGTTGGGTAACCTGGTGGTTTAAATCGTTTTCTCGTCACGCCGAAGGCCTGGGTTCGACTGCCCACATGAGTACAATGTGTGAAGCCCAGATATTGTGTCCCCGCCGTGATATTTCAGAAATGCTGCTTAATTCGACGTAGCACTCATTCGCTCGCTCGCTCATTACCCCCATGCAGATTTCTCACTCACTCACTCACTCACTCACTCACACACACACACACACACACACACACACACACACACACACACACACACACACACACACACACACACACACACACACACACACACACACACTCACCCACCTACAAACACAGTATACTGACTGAACTGACCTTGTTTTATACACTTAAAGCTGAGCGTCGGATGGGGAAACACGAAGTAATCTCTTTTTACGTCTTTTTGAATGACGCTCTCATTTCCGGTCAAACCACATACAGTAAATCACAATGGCGGTCTCGTTTTATAACCACGGAAACAGAAAGAACTATTCGTGAGCAATTTAACCCCCATTGCAGTTTCTTCGAGGGCGTTGAGAGGAATGCTGACAGTTGCTAATGCCCCTCTATAATATTCCAGCATGGCGATCCAATCCTGGTTTCCCAACAACCGAAGCCTGATGGGGCAACATAGCGGATTGGGTGATGAGGCTCGGTGACGTGGTTCACTGCGTGCCATCATATCCCAAAGTCGTGGGGCGTTCCTCAAAATCTCAGTCACTGGTTTGTCTGATCCAGACTCAACTATTTGAAAAATATTGATAAGTGCAGAGCTAAACAACTCTAAACAAAACGAAATCCAACTGTTATGTTAGTTAGTTGGTATTGTAATGTACAGGGGCTGGGGCTTCGTGGGAAGTCGGTTGGCTCCTCATGTTGAACGCCCGTGTTCGTTTTACCACATGGGTAAAGTGTGTGAAGCCCCTTCTTGTTTCCCCCGCCGTAATAATGCTGCCATGTTGCTAAAGGTGTGGTATGTTGTATACAATGGAACAAATATATGTCAGATATACTTCATTGGTATTGTGCGTTATAAAAAACGGGGCGGTTGGGTAACCTGGTGGTTTAAATCGTTTTCTCGTCACGCCGAAGGCCTGGGTTCGACTGCCCACATGAGTACAATGTGTGAAGCCCAGATATTGTGTCCCCGCCGTGATATTTTAGAAATGCTACTTAATTCGACGTAGCACTCATTCGCTCGCTCGCTCATTACCCCAATGCAGATTTCTCACTCACTCACTCACTCACTCACTCACTCACTCACTCACTGTTATGGTGCTGACACACCTAGAAACATAATCGCCGGTTGCAGTGAGTGAGTTAAAACATAATGTCGCAACGTTTATATATTCACAAGTTAGTCATTTAAACAACAAATTTCATCAAACATATTTGGGCATAACAATATGGGCAATAACCAACTGGTGTTCGTTTGTAACATATGGGTTTTATTATGTGAGGAATAGATACGTTGTAAAGATACAAGTCCAGCACATGTAATGAGCACCATCGCCTTCATAGAGACACACCATTCGTCATCACTCGCCCCTTTCCGTAACCTGCAACAAGACTCGTCCCCTTTCGATGAATGTTACGTGAGAAAATACGACAAATCAGTCAGATTGCGCGTATGACTTCAAGTACTTCGGTCAAAGAATCCCTCATGAATAAATTTTCATTTTACACGTATTACATTTAAGTATATACCAACGATACGGTTATATGCTTTCAATCATTCTGTAGAATACTGTACGTCCCGATGTGTTTTCAATAGCATCTGGTTATATAGGGAAATATACATGAATCATTAGTTGACACTTCTTTTTTATCTATACCCGTTTGCGCTTCGGCTCTACCCAGTCGCAAAATGGCCACGAGAGGTTCACGAGTCGCTATTCGCTTGTCCCGGAATAACATGAGTCGGTCACGAATGATAGACACACTAAGAGCAACGTGATCATAACAGCTTACCCTAGATAAAGCCCAGATCCTTTTTATTTCCTTGTTTCGACCTTGAAACAAGGACATATAGTGATCACATATTACGCTCCTTCTCAATAGACCAAGTGAAAGCTGATCCACCACACACAGGGAAAGGACGTTTTGAGCGATGGTTCAATAGTTGCATTATCCTTTCAATGCAACTCAAGTTATGGACTTCGCTCACCTTCTTGCGGAAACCTGGTATTATCACTCAGTGAAAGTGATTCGGTAGCGCACAATGGAATATCTCTAAATTACCATTTCAGTGAATTAATGCAATTTGTAGTTTACACCCTGGGGTAAGTTTGTGAATTTTAACATGTTTTTGTTTCCTGGTTACACACTGAAAATGTCTCTTGTTACATATGTTAAGAATATCATTCTTGTATTTATACTCTCGTCAACTTGTAGGGTGAATGACGTGTACATCAATTGCAAATATAAGTTGTAAGGCATTTCTTTAATCAAAAAGTCCATTTTACCATTTTGACTATTTTATGAGCATGTGTCTATCACTATCTATCTTTTCAGGAAACCCAAGCATCGACACTATTTGATAGTGCTTCACAAACACATACTTTCAGTATATATTTGGCAACGTACAATGTTTCACTAGATATTTTTTTTAAATATAAGTTGGTTTTATTGCTTTTTTACCATGCTGCTATTTTTTTTTAAAATGAACTTTCCAAACAGTTTTCGGAATACATGATGTGATTCAGTGCTTTACTACTAAAATATCATTTTAATAAATGAATGCAATCTCTTAGGCCCAGGGGGAGGTTTCTTAAACAGGTGTCCTGTGGCACACGTTTCAATCTTTGAGTTTAGCATTTGTTTGTTTCACAGTAACACACTAGAATTTTCTCTTTTTAGATATGTAAAGAATCGCATTCTTTTGTTTATTCTCTATTCATCATTAAAGGTTTATGTAGGATACTTCAATCGTAAATAAAAACAGATTCTTTTCCATAACCAAAAGAGACAACTGTCCAAAGTCCATTGTACGATTCCGACTCTATCATAGGCACCTGTCTATAAATCTCTAGCAAATAGTTTCGATGCAAGGTGTTTGCAAGAATGGTGAGCGTATCCTGCCCCGACGGTCCCACCCGTCACAAAGAAATGGAAGTCAATTGTTCTCTGGGAAAAAAAACACGGGGACATATGGCACAAGTACAATCGGGAATTGCATCCGACATCAATAGTTTTACACTGAAAGCACTACTGAGGCATTGGATGATGTAACCTGTTTAAACAACAGTAAACATTGCTAAATCATTTATGAAAGTGTTTCAGACATTAACATGCAATAGCTCATTCACGCTGCATGATTTCCTCGAACATTTCGTACATAAAAACAATCAACGTCTTAAGACATTTTACGTTTTGACTCTATTACTCTAACTGAGTGACCGAATTGAACATAATTTCATAGAACAGTGTTACGGAGTACTGTTGTGGAAAAACCCAACTGAAGCAAGTCGGAACAATATATATGGTAACGAACCAAGAAATGTGATTCAGCAAACGTTTCATTTGTCATTGTTATGATAGTGGTGTCAAAATTGTTTCGGGGAAAGATCCTTTGTGTGTTGAAGATTGCACACTGGTATGGAGACATGTATCCCGTTTCACAATAAATGTGTGCTTAAGAAGGGTGGAAATTATATATTTACAGGAGACACATTAATTCGATTTCATACAGTTTCTGTTTGTGTTCCGCAGACGATGGTTCCCCTTACGCAGATTTCTGAATGGACGCTTCTTCTTCTTCTGATGATTTATGAATCTGTCGGTAAGTTATTTCGGTGCTATGTCTATACACATAACATTGTACTGATTCAGCTAGTATGTTATATCTGTGTTATGTCCATACACCAAATCATATACTGATTCATAGATCAATGTTAATTTATCAGTATCAATTAAATCAATACTTATGTATTATGTTTCACAATTACAATTAGTACAATTAATAATGAACATACACATGTTGATGAAGATCATATTTACGCCAAAAGGTTCGTCGGAACTGATCTGTCCGGATGTCGGATATCTTGGTTCTCCTGCTCAGCTGATGTGCATCCCGCCAAGTAATACAACTTCACATGGCTATGCAACACCGCAAGGTGAAGTTGCCGCTATCTGCAATGTATCAAGCTCATCATGTACACCTATAGGCAACTACATGGCGTCTACCATCAACCAGACACACAGTAGCCTCACCATACCTGCAGTACAACAAACACATGCAGGGCAGTGGAAGTGTACTATCCCACATTCGTCTCCACTATCCTGCAACATTACTGTTGTGAGTAAGTACACCAAGATAAGATACATGAATGTGAAGCCAACACTCGTAACTATAGACCCTATTCCATCGATATCACTCAGTGTGGATGTATGCTGTTCAACAATGGCGAACACTATCCCGTAACATGTACATGTTGAAATAGCAAAATGAATGTTATTCACATTGGCGTATTGCAAGGGAATCTGTATTGTGTTATCAACATTGTAAGTGTTAACAACAGTAATTTAGGTTGTACTTCGACACACGTGAACTAGTACAGGAAGAACAGTTATATTTTCCAAGCCATTGTGACATTTACAAATTTAACGTATCAGTAACCAACAACATGTTTGATGCGATTCCCTGTTTTCACAGTGTTTGTACAGGTGAACAATTGACGTGCCTTTGTATGTATTTGTGACGGGTGTTACCGGGGAGACACGCTTACATTTTCGCAAACACCTGGCACCATTACTGTTTGATAGTGCTTCGTATACACAAGCTTATGACATAGTCCGAACCATGCAATAGACAAGGTTTAAGGTTTCTTATGATCAGGGAAAGAGATTTGCCAACTTGCCTCCACATCGTACTGTCATGCCACTAAATGAAGGAGTACAAGGTTGACATGATGTCATATAGGCATTACTTTGTGCTGAGAATTTGCATTGTACTTGATGTTCTTGTCACTTATGATATATATTGAAACTATTCTTGTCAATGATGAAAGGAAAACATCTCACGTTGAAGGTCCTTCCGGATGAATGTCCTATCTAACTTGTGGAGACTATTTGTAATGCGACTTTGTGTTTCAGAACTCCCGACCTGCTTCACAACAAGTGATGTAAGCACCACGACGCTCGACGTTGGCGAGGAGCTGTTCCTGACAGTGCACATCAAGGGGTATTACTGTTCTGAGCTGGTTCAGCTGAACGTTTCCACGGGAAGAACTGATCACGAATACCTAAATGAAACAGTCACTAATATAACAGATAAAACAGTTAACATCAAAATCAACAAGATCAACACCATCTTCGAGGCAGAACTGGTCTTCACCTGCGGTGGCCATAGCACGACTCAACCTTGTAATGTAACCAACGGTGAGTACAAGGGGAAAGAGGCAGTACTAGTAGTCAAATGTTTAAAGCATATTTCTCAGCATAAACAGCGCATGTAAAGAGTTCGGTTTCAAGTAAAGTGACTTCAATGTATGAAAAAACATTGAAATAAAACCATGTGTGCACACTGTGTAAATCTGGGCTGTGGAGTATGCCAAGCGTTTCCCTTTATGTAAGTATTAAGGTGAATACCGATGTGCACATGTGACAATACACGTGGCCTGTTATTGTTAGTATTGGAAACGCAAACGCGAACCAAATTAAATGCCAGGAAACACTTGTTTCCTCAAAGTTAACATAATAAACGAAATTTATATTTCTTTATTCATTCAATGACATTCAATGGTAAATAAGTTGACTTCCGTTCAGCAGGAAAGTATGATCAATGGCAAGTCTTTTTGAAGCATGTTCATTTGTAGATTTGGGTTAATAACTGAAACCCAATTGCATGATCTATGAATCCCTGCAGTAAAAGAGCCAAATGTAAAAGCGCTTATCGGGTCCACAGAGCACCACATTTCAACAGAAAAAGCTACTGATACATCAGCGAGAAGTTGCATCTTGATGGGTATTGACATACGTTGTATATATAATATTTATTTACAGGGACGCCGTCAAGCACACTTGACCAAAATAGAAAACCACGGACGCCAAACGCCATTGGAGCCGTATTAGTCACCGTCACCGTCCCCATCACTATCACCATCATCATCATCGTCACCTGTGTTTGCTTCAAAAGGAGGACCATACAGAAGAAGGTACCACCAGTGTTGGAATGCCCCGACCCGCCGTACATGGAGTTTAAGGAACCCCTTCATAACACGTACGCCAGCGTAGAGGACCTCGGTGCACTGGGGTCAGGATCCAAGAAGGACACTTCACCACCTTGTACAGAAGCGCCTGCAGACACAGTGAACTATGCAGCCGTTGGCGACACCAGTGTCTCAGACACTAAAACAAGGAAAGATGACCTGCCTGCATTGATGGACGCGGGGGGATATTCAACTGTTGCTGACAGACGTGTTACGGGCAAAGGCACACAGGGAGATGTCACAGATAAATCCTTAGACACGGGCTACTATGAAATAGTTGAGGACCAAAGTGCAGCAGCACCTAGTGTAATGCAAGGAGACCTACCTCTCCCAATTGATGCTGCAGTATATTCAACTGTTGCTGACAGACAAACTGCAGAAACTAGCCAACAGAGAGAAGACACAGCTAAATCTTTAGACACGGGCTATTATGAAACTGTTGAGGCCCAAAGTGCAGCAGCACTTAGTGTAAGACAAGGTGACCTACCTCTCCCAATTGATGCTGCAGGATATTCAACTGTTGCTGTCAGACATGCTGCGGACAAAGGCAAACGGGGAAATGTCACAGATAAATCTTTAGACACGGGCTACTATGAAACTGTTGATGTGAAAAGTGATGCACAACCTAATCTCCGACAAGGAGACCTACCTGGCCTAACTGATGCTGTGGGGTATTCAACAGTTGACGATTTCAAACCATGCCCCGGTGCCGCGTCATTCAGTCACACGGGGAAGCCTGAAAGTGTCCCGAATCAGATAGAAGGACAGAAATCCAACAGACCTCCCTGTGAACTTTATGCAACTGTTAACAAGAAGAGGGGCACGCCTAGGTTGGCCAGTGCTGATGCAACTACCACCAGTGTAATGTGAAATATACTGAAAGTCTGACATTGGTTTTAGATGATTTCCATAACTTTGGGCTTATCATTAAGACGCAATTTTATTATGGCCAACCTGTCCATAAAATTGATTGTTGAAAAAAAGTAACTTAGATAGTGTATATAACAGTCAGACGTAATGAACATTAAAATATGTGTTATGTAAATATACGTATCTATATAAGTACCGTATCTTACCTATAATAGTTACTGAGTAAGGTTTAACGCCGAGTTTAACAGTATTCCAGTTATTTCATGGCGTGTCAGCTTAATGTGGTAGTAAAGCCCGAATTGATGTAGGAACTTTTACCACTTTTGATGATGCCAAACCTAGAAACATAATTGGAGCGAATCGGGATTCGAACCCATGCTTGCCCAAGTGACGCATTTTTACACAGTGCATAGAAGCGCCTTAGACGACAGGGCCACCCGTGCCCCCACCTGTCATAGTGGTATGTTTTTGTTGATCTATATTTCTAGCATCTGTATATACCCTGTAATTATACCTACTTGGACGTTTTATATTTGTTTATTTTCCTTTATTTCCATGAATGTATTTGTGTCCTTTTAATATATATATACATGTACAATTCCCTGTGGGTATTATGTGTCAGAAATGTTTCCCAGCTCCCTGCTGGTAGTAAGAGGAGATCCACATGGCTGTCAGGCTAGGCAACGGTCATTCATTGCTTGTCATCGTACCCCGACGATGTGGATCATTGCTCACAATATCAATCAATGGATCCAGACTCTGTATTTAAAGGATGTCGTCATACAGATGGAATATTGTTGAATGCTGCATTTAACAACATTTATGTATAATTGGCATATAAATATCTCCAATATTACATCTTATCCTTCACGTTGTTCTTCTTTCTAAATATTAATAACACATGCATTTTCGGTATGATGAAAGTGTGTGACTCTTGAATGGTCATTTTGACCAAATACTGGTTCAAGTGATATATGAAGCAGATCTTCTTTAGAAAGTTACTCGTTGCGCAGTGTGTTGGGGTGATGGGGTGGCCAAATAGTCAAAGCTTTCGCTCGTCATGCCGAAGACCCGGGTTCGATTTCCTGCATGGGTACAATGTGTAAAGTCCATTTCTGGTGTCCCCCGCCGTGATATTGCTGGAATTTTGGTAAAAACGGCGTAAAACCCAACACACTCACCGTGCGTCCCTTATAGACATTATCAATTTTCCTGTTAAGGAAACCTACACTTTTAGCGCTCGTGGCAAACAGCCATATCACGGACATTTATGTATTCATGCCAGCCAACAGAGTAAGCCCAATATCACGGAGTTGAAACAGGAAAAAAACTGACTTGTGAAACAACATGCAATCAAACGTTTACATTTAACTGGTCTTTGCTTTAATGTTAAGTTTGCATAAAGTTTAAAACGTGACAGGAAGAAGACAGCTCACGTGGTGGAGTTCCTGTAACGTCTGAAACAGCCAGCAGATGACAGAGCAACGTACCCCAACGTGCTTTTATCAGTTTCATGTGTTAATGTTTGACACACATTGTAACTTGTGGGGAGCGGTGTTTTTCATCTTGACTTTTAAGAGCCTAACCTATTTTATCTTTAGCGCTATACATTGCGTTCAAGACAACCGCGAAATACACACACCAAGTTCCGCACATCTGGATAAAAATAGTTATAAATGAAGTAAATGATGTGACCAAACGGAAAATTCGACACAAGCGGACATTCGACATACCCGAGTTCGAGACAAAGGAGTTCAAATGTATGTTCAAATGGAAAAAATAGCATGAACTTTAATATCATATCAACCAGTGAAATCTTAGTGAAAATGTAAATGTTCATTTATTTGTAATCTACAACAGCCATGATATGGTTGAGTAAAAAACAATTAGGCATACAATATTTCTTTAATTCTTCAGTATTTTATTAATGAAAAAACGGAACAACCATTTCAGTAATCATTCTCAACTCCCTGGGGAGTATACAAACAGATTAAAGTTGCCTACAGACGCAAGAAGGTTTTTACATCCACCTCACATATCGGGTACCCATTCCCTGCTGGGTGAGCAGAGGCACATTTGAACCTTAGGTGTATGTACGGCTTAACGCCGCCTTTAAGAGTATTCCAGTTATATCACGGCGTGTCAGCTTAATGTGGGAGGAAAGCCCGAAGTGATACAGGTCTCAGACGTTTACCGCTTCGGTGAAACCCACGAGCACGGGTATGGTGCTAACAAAACTAGAAACATAATCGGGGAGAACCGGGATTCGAACCAACAATCATAGGTTTCTGGCGTGCCCATGGGACGCAACTCTGCACAGCGAATCCGGCGCATCCCGGATGGATCGGGTGATCTGACTGTGATTTAGTTGATTGCGCGTCATCGAACCTTGACTGCTTGGAGCGATACTCGCAGTCCAGATTTATTTACGTCCGCCGTCATTTCGCTTGACTATAGCAAGCAAACAAACAAATAAACAAAGCGACGTGACACAGATTGGACAACCGGAATGAAAACAGTTCTGATTAACATATTTGAGTTTAAAAATATGCGACAAGGTCAGGATGTCAGATATTTATTATTCAAACTTGTAACTGAAACCAGTTGACTCGTTTCCGGCCACAAACATCAACTTACACACCGTGTTAAAGATTGCACTATTCATTGCACTTCAAAATCAAAATAGAAACAGAATTGAAATCGCTATTGAAGATTTTGGTGTTATAATTAATAATTAATTAGACTGGTTACGTGCGTGAATAATTTAGTAATTAATGCAATAATTGAATTATGTGTATTTGTCTCTTTTTAACACAAAGCTGTGTCAAGATGTGGTACATGTGAAGTTTGTTTGTTTGTAGTTTAACGCCGCACTCAGCGATGTTCCAGCTATATGACGGCGGTCTGTAAATAACCGAGTCTGGACCAGACAATCCATTGATGGACAACATGAGCATCGATCCACACAATTGTTGGTTGGTTTGTTGTTTAACGCCGGGCTCTGCAATAATCCAGCTTTATGACGGCGGTCTGTAAATAGACGAGTCCGGACCAGACAATCCAGTGATTGACATCATGAGCATCGATCCAGGTAATTGGGATACGATGACATGCATCAACCAAGTCAGCTAGCCTGACCATCCGATCCCGTTAGTCGCCTCTTACGACAAGCATACTCGCCACCAGACCAAACCAACCAACTATAAGACTAAAGTTTTATTTAGTCATGATCGTGTAATACTAATTGTTCAAGAGACATATTACAGGTGTAGGCCCTCAGTTCTCATGCCCCCCCCCCCCCCCCCCCCCTATCTAAGCTTGCCGAGGTTATTCACTCGAGGTTATGCCGTTAATTAACTTCCATGGTAATTGGTCCCAGTCGGCCTAATTTGCTGTCTTAGCATCTAACTCTTCTGTCTTGGCATAGTGTTGTTTTCAATGTCTATTGGGTCCTGATCATTTGAGTTTGCCTCTCGTTCGTTACATTTAGATCATAAAAATAATACTGTGGACTTTTATCGCCTTTTTTTAATTATTACTTCATTTTTTATTCAGTGACAGCTCCGTGTCAGTCAGGCACATACCCGTGCTCGTGGGTTTCCCCTCAGTTGCAGACGTTCTTAATTCAATTTAGCGCCGTTAAATCTACAGGTTAGCTAACTCTACATTGATAAGGGGGCACGGGTGGCCCAGTCGTCTAAGTCGCCGCGATTCGTTGTGCAGAGTTGCGTTCCTTGGGCACGCCAGAAACCTATGATTGTGGGTTCGAGTCCCGGTTCGCCCCGATTATGTTTCTAGGCTTGTCAGCACCATACCCGTGCTCGTGGGTTTCACCGAAGTGGTAAACGTCTGAGGCCTGCATCACTTCGGGCTTTCCTCCCATATTTAGCTGACACGCCGCGATATAACTGGAATACTGTTTTAAGCGGCGTTAAACACAACTCACTCACTCACTACATTGATAACACAGTATGTTCATCTCCTTCTACCATGACTAAATAAAACGCTGACACTTTGATGTCATGGGTTGAGTCCTGTGTTTTGAGTGGAGAATCACCGACAACAGACTTTAAATAGAATGCGGCGCTCTATATAGTCAAACAGGTTGTTTACACCGTACACGTCACACGAACGCATGACAGACGGGCTCGGAAAGCATGTAGAAGGGCAACTTCATTACCTAGCATGAGGTAGGTTCCCCCCCCAAAAAAATAAAATATTAATAATAATAATAAAAAAAAAAAAAAATAAAATAAATAAATAAAAAAAATAAAAAATAATGAAAAAATAAGCAAGCCTTCCAAAGTTTTCATTCTACACCGCACTTCTGATCAAACCGGCGTTAAACCTAACTCGACCACTCACTCACTACACTGTGAGCCATCTGGTCATTGTTACTCCGAGAAACACATTATATACAGTTTATGATATGCAGAAAGCTCAAACGTAAACCAACTAATTGTAATAGAGGTTTATATGTTTTTTATTCAGCTATTCCTTCATAGTGTTGCTTTAGTAATCTGAACATGTCGTAGTATGCGTTAGAAATGTACAATCAGCTATTAACATAATATGGGTCATCAAAATAATATACAGAAAGTGACGGCTCACTATATTTCTGTTTCAGCTTCCGTGATGGGGCACCTGATGACTACATGTGTGTTAAACAGGACAGAGTTGTGATGACTTTATTATGAGCCATTTCGACAAATCGACACAGGATACTTCCTGGTGACCGTTCTCCCTGTTGCTCACACATATCTGCTTTGTGTATTTTTTAAAACTGGCTTGTTTGACTGAAAATATCATCAACACATGATAGAGAAATCAATACAATCTATGTTTTCTAAATGCGCATATATATACATACAGTAAAGTACGTTTATAAGGAACACGCTTATAACGAACTGACGGATATAACGAACTGATTTTTTTGTCACGACTATTTGCTATTGTTATACTGTATATATGCTTATAACGAACTACGAACTCAAATGGACCACTAATTTTAATTCGTAATAACCGTACTTCGTTACTAGCATATACACAGCATATATACAACAAATGGCCGGGACTATAACTAAGCTCGTTATATCAATCAGTTCGTTATAAGCGTGTTCGTTATAAACGTAGTTTTACTGTATATTACACACACACATACAACACACACAACAGCACACACACAAGACACGCACACAAGACACACACACACGCGCACGCGCGCGCGCACACACACACACACACACACACACACACACACACACACACACACACACACACACACACACACACACACACACACACACACACACACACACACACACACACACACACACACACACACACACACCTCCCTGCCAGGCTGCGAAACAATAAAGATCCCTGTTTTGTAAATGTAACCTTTATTTCGGTTCCGGGGTCATGATCAGGTGGGTAGGCATGATAAGTTTGCATCATGTTTGCTTTTCATTAAAAGGGAGATAACCCCGTGTTACTTACTGGTTAACTCCACATGATACAAAGCTAATATGAACTGGTCTCATGATCAAGGACGCACGACGTGGACGAGGCCGCCATAATACCCCATTTCCCTACACACCTGTGGGTGAGAAACACATTTCAGATAACTGGTATGAACCATATGGTTGAGATCGAATTCCGCACCTGTGATTAGTTACTCCATGATGCATATGATGACTTAAGGTCATATTGTGACGGACTACTTTCCTGATCATAAGCCATTGATAAGTTACGCGCGCTCCAGTCGAATGTTCGCCTTCGTGTGTCCTGAACGTTATGGTTTTAGAGCCTCACCCCCTAGATGCAACAATGACATATTTGTCAATCCCCCTCAACTATTCAAAGTCGAGCAAGATTCAAAATATATCGCGACAACTAATACACTTCAAAGTTTTAAAATGTTCTGTGATAACATCCTCTGTCATATCAGACAAAGCAAATTATCGACATTTGTGATAAACAATTAAATCACCATTCATAGCGTTATTTAATATGTGTTTAGAATATCGGATATTTACTCGAAGAACTGAATTTCAAAAACAGCATTTTAGTGATCACAGGTATCAGTTTTTTTTATCAAATCACAAATGACAATTCGGAAACGCCAAGAATAGTTTAGAATGTTTTGGAAATACGCAAACACAAACGCCGAAGTGTACCTTCCGTCATATTGGATAGTGTTTACAAAATCACGTTTCAAGTCTGCCGGTTAGGAGACTTCTATTAGATCACATATATTTCAAACATTTTTTGAAGTTTAAACAAAGCAAAATTCAGATTTTACACTGTGTAAAATGTGCTCCTATTTTGAGAGACTAATTCGTCTTATTGTTGCACACAATGGCTCACACTTTTGAGAATGTTCCTATGAAGAGTATCGTAGCCCGAATTATGGAATTACAAATGTATACATAACAGTGATCAGGTAAATTCAACGGAAATCGAAATCGTAAAAAGCTTCCGTCCTGTGTGACGCCATGACTATCGCAAAATCACGTACAACGACGGTAGTTAGCTGCATTTCTGACTCATTATCTTGGTAACATTGAAAACATAAAACAAATAACATTACGAAGATTTTCTGATACATTTCTGTATATACGATCCCGCAGTCAACGAACATCCTCCTCTGAATAGCCCGTGTACTGTTGTCAGTGAACCCGCAATTTTGTAAAAGTGGGTCACCGTTACAAACAAATAAATGAACAAAAATGTTCTCAACATAGTGTTTTATTTCAATCCCTAAGTCAAACTAAATCTTTAAAAACGTAAGAAAATGCGAGCGTGTGTGTGGATATTGTTTATCGCAATCAGCAATATTCCAAATATATCCAGGTTAGCAGAGTGAGTGAGTGAGTGAGTTGGGTTTAACGCCGCTTTTAACAGTATTCCAGTTATATCACAGCGTGTCAGCTTAATGTGGGACGAAAGCCCGAAGTGATGCAGGTCTCAGACATTTGCCACTTCGGTGAAACCCACGAGCACGGGTATGGTGCTGACAAACCTAGAACAATAATCGGGGCGAACCGGGATTCGAACCCACAATCATAGGTTTCTGGCGTTCCCAAAGGACGCAACTCTGCACTGCGCATCGCGGCGCCTTAGACGACTGGGCCACCCGTGCCCCCGTTTTACCAACGAACACATTTTATGGTTTGCTGGCTTAAACATTTCAAGTTGGAATTCCGGAATGTCACCGTATATAATTACTCGATGCTATAGCAATATTTTGCTTGTATACTTTGCGTGCGTCACTCGCTCATTCATTTAACAACCCATGATTATAGGGGCCGTCTCAAAAGCAAGAGCACTGAGTTAACGGTGGCGAACCTGTCTGACAAGTGAACAAAGTTCAATTTCATGAATGAAACGGGTTCGGTCGTAACGTAGACTTTGAAGGAAATGACACTGTCTATCCTATTCCAACGCTTCACCGCGTCCATTCGACCAACCCTTTCACAACCACGTCGTCAGGCTGCCGTCCTAGTTTTAATAAGCAGGATCCAAGCTAACAAGACGTGTTTAAATTTAAAGGTAGGTGAAAAATAGAACGAAATGCGACAGAAACTGTGGTCATGCAGCTGAATACCGGAGGTCACCTGCAAACTGGGAAGTAAGATATATAGGCCGCTTTAGCCATGCCAGCAACCACCCAGCCCTGATATGTCACTGTGTCAGAGCAGGTTGGCCTAACCCGTAAACGTTCTTATTGAAGACACATATGCACATTTTTAGTGTCACATTCTTCATAGTATTTCATAACTTATGCTGTTTTGTGATTTCTCTTTTGTGAATTGTGTATCTTGATTGATGATTTGAAAAGAAGAAGATAGATGCACATTTATAGTGTCATTTTCTATATAGTATTTCATAAATTATATTGTTCTTTTCCCGTGATTTCTATTTTGGGAATTGTGTAGTTTGATTGAAGCAGTTTTAGCATTTGTGTGTGTGTGTGTGTGTGTGTGTGTGTGTGTGTGTGTGTGTGTGTGTGTGTGTGTGTGTGTGTGTGTGTGTGTGAGAGATTGTGTGTGTGTGTGTGTGTGAGAGAGAGATTGTGTGTGTGTGTGTGTGTGTGTGATTTTGTTTGTGTGTGTGTGTGTGTGTGTGTGTGTGTGTGTGTGTGTGTGTGTGTGTGTGTGTGTGTGTGTGTGTGTGTGTGTGTGTGTGTGTGTGTGTGTGTGTGTGTGTGTGTGTGTGTGTGTGTGTGTGTGTGTGTGTGTGTGTGTGTGTGTGCTGGATCCCCTTACCACGGGGTCACAGTTTCCGAATTCGCCATATGTGTGAATATGTAGAATGTTATTGTTAGCTGTATACAAAGCACTGTTTAGAACATCAACAACATCTATGTTAGGTTACAAGGTGTGTCCGTTTACCCAGTCTCCTGCGACACAATACATCACGCCCGATGATCAGATATTGGCTTTAATCTTATCGTTAGTTGCAGGTTTTCCTGACACGAACGTGCTCATTTCCTGTGTGTATTGAATGCAGACACTCCAATAAAAGTACAAATTCCAACTATCCGCTATTAAAAGGCTTGTATGAAAGGCTCTGTGTTAAATAAGCAAATAAGCAAGCAAACATCTTGCGACTGACGGAAGCAGAGTCATATTGATTTTACATGTCTAAATGACATTTGTGTTTGGGAAATTGGGCAACAATGTCTGGATATTATTACACAATGGTTATACAAATGTGAGTTACAGGTTGCAAGAAATTATAATTATTTCAAACCCAAAGTCAGATTGAAGGAAGGTTGAAGGGATAATCAACATCAGTGATGACACCAGGTGTTCACGAAAAAGGCAAGCACGAAAAGGCAGTATCGAGTTTGGACCGAATTCGTACTATGATCAATGATCCATGTCGTAGGGATGTGTGGTGGGTACGTGTTAGAGATGGACTGAAGAAGGTGTGTATTTTGTGTGTGTATTTTGTGTTTTGTGTGTGTATTTTGTGTGTGTATTTTGTGTGTGTGTGCGTGCGTGCGTGCATGCGTGCGTGCGTGCGTGTGCGTGCGTGTGCGTGTGTGTGTGTGTGTGTGTGTGTGTGTGTGTGTGTGTGTGTGTGTGTGTGTGTGTGTGTGTGTGTGTGTGTGTGTGTGTGTGTGTGTGTGCTGGAGATTGTGTGTGTGCCGAAGATGGTGTGTGTGTAGATGTTGGGAATGGTATGTGTATGTGTTGGCGATGAGGTGGGTGTATGTGTTGGAGATGGTGTGCGTTTATGTTTTGGCGATGAGGTGGGTGTATGTGTTGGGGATTGGGTGTGTGTATTTGCTGAAGATGGTGTGTGTGTACGGGTTGGGATGTGTGTGTGTGTATGATGGGGATGGTGTGTGTGTGTATATGTTGGGGATGATGTGTGTGTATGTGTTGGGATGGGGCGTGTGTATGTGTCGGGGATGGGGCGTGTGCATGTGTCGGGATGGGGCCGGTGTATGTGTGTGTGTTTTGGAGATCGGGTGTATGTTTTGGGGATGGTGTGTGTGTTTGTCGGGGATGGGGCGTGTGTATGTGTTGGCGATGGGGTGTGTGTATGTGTGTGTGTGTGTGTGTTTTGGGGATAGGTTGTGTAATTGTCGGGGATGGGGCGTATGTGCGTTTTGGGGATGGGGTGTGTATATGTGTTGGGGATTGGGCGTGTATATGTGTTGGGGATTGGGTGTGTGTTGGGCATGGGGCGTGTGTGTATATATGTGTTAAGGGTGGGGTGTGCATGTGTTTTTGGGATGGGGTGTGTGTATGTGTGTGTGTGTGTTTTGGGGATAGGTTGTGTAATTGTCGGGGATGGGGCGTGTGTATGTTTTGGGGATGGGATGTGTGTATGTGTGTGTTTTGGGGATATGTTGTGTGTTTGTAGGGGGTGGTGTGTGTGTATGTTTTGGGGATGTGGTGTGTGTATGTGTTGGGGATTTGGTGTGTGTGTGTGTGTGTGTAAATGATAAATATATCGAAATAATATTTTGTTAATATATGACTGTTGAACATGACTGATTGGGCACCTGTGACAAGGCCAATATGAAAACACAAACGTAATGACATATTTATCAATTGTCTGCCTGACAATATATTTCCACATAGTATCAGTATCAGTATCAGTCATGGAGATCCCGAAAAAAGGTAAAAGATGTCACGTTTATAAAAAAAAAGGTCATTACGTGCAAAATTCCTATTAGCCCGACAAATCCCTTTTGGTCCTTTCAAATCCCGTATTTCAAATCGGCTGCTTCGATGTGAAGCGCCGATTTCAGTGATCACGTATTTCGATTAATAAAAGATAAATATGACATGACAAATGCATGATCAAATTCTATAGCTTGATACAAATCTGATAAAATGTTGCCTTCAGAGGAGATATACGTATCACAGTAAACAAAAACATAACAAAAAAACAACCCTCACCAAATAACACATGGCCGTAAAAATTATCATTTTACTTCCTACTTCCTCCAAGGTGACAACGATAGCGTTAAATTGGTGTTTGATGTAAACTGTGTCTGCTTCATGTGTCAGTGATTATCATGGGGTAAACTTTTGTCTTGCCTCAACACGTTTCTGTTGTTTCTGTGAAAAATAATCTACCACAACACCATTACTTTAAGGAAGTATAATCGCATATGTATTATTCAAGGGGAGCATTTGCAATATCATTCATGTTAATACAGCTCATCTGACTGCAGATCTACTACTGTGGGTGCGGAGTATTCAGGAAAGGAGCAAGACTGGTTGACTACCTGCAACAACAGTAAGTTTATATACGCTGTAGACATGATTGCTTAATTGTCATTGACTGAAACATAAGGTACACACATCCTCATATCAAAGCCACCTTTTATAAAGGCGGAAATGATCCGACGAATATTACGTTCAGTAAATAGATCAGCAAGTGTTGTTCATGTTCTATCCACGACCTGAACGCATGTTGTTTTACGATGAATAATTAGCATTAGTCCAAACATTTAACTCTGCTTTGACAGACAGAGAAACTAGCCTATTGTGTGTCATTGAGTTTTTTTACCATAGGTCACATTGTGTGGCATTGTTGTACCTCAGAATCAGTTAAGGTTATACAGGACGTGAGGAAAGTAACATAAGTAATCACAATATGTATTGGTAACAAATGCCGTTATCATTTTTGTGTAATTCGACTTTTCACATCAGTTATGTTAACTACACAAAAGAAGTGAGGAAAATACATGAATTTCATAACAGAAAGTAAGATTCAATATATTATTCCCTTTGACGTTATGAAAAAATATTGTTATCTTTATTGGAGACGTTATCATGGTATACGTCATTGTTAAACAGGTATACGATGTGACGTCATTAACTTTTGGACGTGATTACTTACTAAGTCAACCCTGTTGTCTATATGACAACAATCACTGGTCCACACTCAATTATTTAGAGGTTGGCATCATAAAGCTAGAATATTGTGCGGCGTTAAGCAACAAACAAACCAAACGCTGTTGATCGCGTGTCTTGAATGGATTTTTAGGATATTTCTGACCTTGGCCCATGTGCATAAACAAAAAAACCTTCATTCTACAGATGGGGGTCACTGGAAAAAGTGATAGTCTCGGATTATACATCCTCCTTGGTACCCTTTTACCTCAGTTGTCCCAAGGTACGTAGAAAAGGAAAACACTTTTATTTCGAATGACTGCGACAATACTCGTACGTAGAACCGATTGCGTGTAACACATGCTCAAACTAATGTGATTTTGCTGATTGTTATGTTACTTGCAGTTAACCATATTCAAGTTACATCACTGTAAATATGTTTCTCTTGCACTGTGCAAGTACCGTGTCGTCGGGATACGATGACACGCAATCAGTACGGTCTCCGAGATTCCCCGTTGTCGCCGGTTAAAACATAATGACACTTTATTTATACATCCCAGGTGCAGCAGAGCTTGTGTGTCCAGAGGTAGGATTCTTGGACTCGCCCGCAAACCTGAGCTGCAGTGGCACAGGAAGAACACACTCCTACATCCAGCCATCAGGGGGCATTGTGACCACATGTAACATGACCACTGCAACATGTATACCTGACGTGATGGTGACAATACCTAACTCTTCCTACAGTGTCCTCACACTACCAAGGGTAAACCAGTCACACGCAGGACGCTGGACTTGCTCCATTTGGGATTATGTGACAGGTTGTTTCATGACAGTTGCAAGTAAGTATGTTACTTCAGCTCAGACCATCACCCGGTGACTGGTGACTGTCACCTCGTTGTAGCAACGGTGCCCGATCATGACAAAGCTGACAGTGCATAATTAGAATTCAACATTTCTCAGTTATTGGTATGACATCACACACACACACACACACACACACACACACACACACACACACACACACACACACACACACACACACACACACACACACACACACACACACACACACACACACACACACTGCTCTTCTCGTATGCTTTGTGTAAAAAACAAGAACAACGTTACTTTAGTTGTGTATTTCGTATTTCAGAACTCCCATCATGTGCCATATTGAGTAACCGGTCTGCAGAAGAAGTGACAGTACGTGTACAAGACTACCATTGTTCTGACTCCACTGAGCTGTATTTGAAGACTGGAAACGTCCCTGGAAGACTGTTGAATACATCACGTATTAATACCATTGTTGACATGATTGAGATCACAGTAAATGTAACAACATCCCTTGTAGAGTCAAAGACATTGGCCTTTGTCTGTGGCAATACGAGTTGGGAAATTGCTTGTCAAGGTACTGAACCTTCATATATGATGTCCTTTTTAAGTCCTGTTATTGTTTGTTTCGTGTGTCTACATCCATGCTCGTGGGTTTTACCCAAATGGTTAGAGTGTAACATTCCTTTCACTATTATTTCATTTAGGAGTTAAATATTTCGTTTCGTAAGATTTGAGTGATGTTATGCTGAATGGATGTACGGAAATGTCATTTGAACATGACGCCGTAAGGTGACGTGATGGTGACCATACCAAACTCTTCCTGCAGTGTTCTCACACTGCCAGGTATATAACTATCATACGCAGGGAAGTGGACGTAATGTGTCACGTTGTTTCATGACAGTTGCAAGTAAGTGTGTCATTTTAGTATAGACAATCACCTGGTGATCATGACTGTATACATCACGTCGTTGTAGCAACGTTGCCCGATCATGACAAGTTGTTAGTGCAACATTAGGGGTTGTATACAATTTTGCTTGCCACGTTTATAACTGAGACAATACCTATCTGAGTTATTGGTATGACGTGATACAAATGTACATATGTTACAGTCCATATGTGGGGCGGTCGGGTAGCCTACAGATTAAAGCGTTTGCTCGTCACGCCGAAGACCCGGGTTCGATTCCCGACATTGATACAATGTGTGAAGCCCATTTCTGATGTCCCCCGCCGTGATATTGCTGGAATATTGCTAGAAGCGGCGTAAAACCATATTCACTCACTACATATGTAAAATGACTGAAATGTTTAGTCTGGCATTTGCAAAACGCCACAACATTTAAACCATTTTACATTGAGTTTTCCATTTATTAGTTTGTTTGTTGTTTAACGTCGCATCTAGCAATATTCCAGCTTTATGACGGTTGTCTGTAAATAATCGTATCTGGACCGGACAATTTAGTGATTGATATCATGAGCATCAATTTGGACACGATGTCATGCATATACCAAGTCTTTCGAGCCTGGCCACCCGATCCCGTTAGTCACCTCTTAATGACAAGCATGGGTTGTTGAAGACCAATTCTAATCCGGAATCTTTCCATTTATCTTATTATGATAATTAATTCCACATATGTTTAGGATCTGTATCATCACCCAGTGATGGAAAAAAAACGAAAGTAAATGTATATTGTTGTTTTTTTGGCTCCTGATCCCAGCATATTTAGACTTTTGTGATGTTTTTAAGCCCTTTTGAACTTCTAATTAACTTTTAGTCAATCTCACGGGATAATAATTGTAAAATGACTGAAATATTTTGGCGTTTTGTATTTTGCCTAAGTGAACATTTTACACATTAATTGTAATATATATACATAGATCAGTAGGTGTAACATCGACATATAGGATATAGTAACTGTTCTCCTCGTATGTTATAAAAAACAAACAACAACAACGTTACATTAATTGTGAATTATGTATTTCAGAACCCCCATCATGTGACATATTGAGCAACCGGTCTGCAGAGGAAGTGACAGTACGTGTACAAGACTACCATTGTTCTGACTCCATTGAGCTGTATTTAAAGACTGGAAACTTTACAGGAAGACTGTTGAATACATCACGTATTAATACTACTGGTGGCATGTTTGAGATCACAGTCAATGTAACAACATCCCTTGTAGAGACAAAGACATTGGTCTTTGTCTGTGGCAATACGAGTTGGGAAATTGCTTGTCAAGGTACTGAACCTTTAATTCTGCTCTAGTTTTGATTTGAGTTGAGGATAGATGATGGATGTGTAATAAAGAGACGGGTTAATCAAGTTTAGAGAACTTTTAAATAAGTTAAGATAGGAATTGTTTTGTTTGTATTGTTATTCACAGTGGGAGAACCGACTGTTTTGTGTAGCGTGTGAAAATCCTGTGATCGTATGTTTGGTGTGTCTACAATCCTGCCGGGTTTTACCCAAACAGTTAGCGTTTAACATCCCTTTCACTATTATCATATTTTATAATTTCTTCCAAGGTATTGGGGGCGGTCGGGTAGCTTAGTGGTTAAAGCGTTCGCTCGTCACGCCGAAGACCCGGGTTCGATTCCCGACATGGGTACAATGTGTGAAGCCCATTTCTGGTGTTCGCCGCCGTGATATTGCTGGAAAATTGCTAAAAGCGGCGTAAAACCATACTCACTCACTCACTTCAAGGTATTGATATCGTAAATAATTTAATCAACTGTTTTCATACACATTTTACACTTATTTTCAGTGAAGGCGGCGAAAGAAAGTAACGGAAGCAATAGCTCTGTTGTCATCATAGCGGCTGTCGTTGCCGGAAGCGTTGTTGTCATCATCATCGTCATGCTGGTAGTGATTCTGGTGAAGATGAAGCGATCAAAACGGAAACAACAGCCAGAAACACAGACTGATAATTGTGTGAACGATTCCACTTATGACGTCATGGGACATAATACGAAATCCAATGAAGAAGTACACAAACCATCTGCTTGCTACGACAGGGTATATATAGTGCACGCTGGGTGCACAGCTTCTCCAGAAGGAGACACTTCCATCTATGATGTCGCTTCCCGTTAAGACAATTATGTAACTGCACACATATCCAATCACCATGACGGCATTGTGCAGAAAATTCCAGGTGATACATAGGGTGTTGGGTTAGCTTTGGGCCTAAAACGGTCGCGTGTCATATAAAAAACTGAGTTCGTTTAACCAAGATGAGTGTAACCTGTTTGTTCCTCCCTTCCCTCCCGGGCAAAATGTCTTGAACATAGCTTAGAGCGGCGTTATCCCTTGCTCCCTCACTCACGCACCCCATTTCTACAATGCCACACCAGCAGACAGTTGCGCTCATTACCCTCTTATATATATCACTTTGCCAGATTTTACAATTTATGTGGGTTTTTTTTGCAAATAAATGTGGGTTTTGTCAAACTCGTCATACATTTCTTTTCACGAAGGCAACAAATGTAAAAATTACAGTAAATAAGAATTTGATATTAAATCTTTTGGTATCTGTACATTTAAACATCTCCTTGGGAAACATCTGCGTGTAAAACTTGTACACTCAAAGACCCCCACTGTAAGGAGATTCTTCCTCTTTTGTGTAGATGTGGTAGATACGCTCGTATCATATTCCCTTAATTCTTACCCATCATGAACCATTAATGCCATGACATGGCATGGTGTGAAAGAATGAAAGAGCCACTTCAATCGAACACCGCAAGTTGATTTATCGAACATCATTCAACAGTCAGCATCTTGAGTTTGTATCAGTGAATTTTAAAATCGACAGAGAGTAACGCTGAACATGTGTTGTCATATTAACAGTTACATGAACATAACGGCGGCTTTACCATTTCAAGTTCAAATGTTGAAATAGTTTAAAAAGTACAAGGGCACATTCATACTGAACAATAGCTTCTTTCAGGTTGTTCGTTATTCAGGTGTCGAGCTCGAGGTTGCTATCAGGTGTTATTTGTGGAAAACAGCTCTGTCATGGAGGAAACACATGATATATTCTGCAGTTGTATTTAAGTTTGTGGTAAACTATATTCATTGAGGGAGAGTACAGACTAGACGATGTATTACCTAAGTGCACAGACACGTTCACGTATATTAACACACGCTTATTATCCAGTATCGTCATGATGTATCAAACCATTAACCCATGTCAGAGTTAATAACATTATCACCTATCCTTTTTTATATAAATGCAAGTGGTATACTGATAAAGGCTAATGCAAGATACACTGAAACATTAATGTTAAAAGTGATGCCTTTCATGTGTCCATGGTCCTTCGTTCAATAAATCAAGATATGTGCTATAATATATTCCAACACAGTGGCATCCCGTGTTGGTCTAATTACCACTTCATATTTCCTTTTGTATTCTAGATGTAAATCAAGATTAGTGCTATATGTAAATCAAGATAAGTGCTATAATATATTCCAACACAGTGGCATCCTGTGTTGGTCTAATTGCCACTTCATAGTTCCTTAGTGCTATAATATATTCCAACACAGTGGCATCCTGTGTTGGTCTAATTACCACTTCATATTTCCCTTTGTATTCTAGATGTTGTTGTGTCTTTGGTCCTTCTTTCACTAAAAAACAGAATTATCTTGAGACTGTCTAGTTATGTATTAAATTATGATCATTCCTGGCATGACTGACATGGTCGTGTACTCAAAACTCAATGCATATCTGTATACATGTACCTATATCTAAGCCTTGTCATGGTTATATGCTCGTTTGTTCTCATCACATACCATTATCACTGATTTGTCACTACCATACTGTTTTGTGGGTTTTGCAAAAGTGACACACACGTTTAAGACGTGTATTTTTCCTTCACCCCGTGATAACGTAAAACTAAAGTCTGAATAAATCAAATTTACGGCTCGACTGGGAAGCTTGGTGCCAGACGTAGACAGAGCCTATTTGATATGATCTCAGGATCTCCTCAGCACTGAATACGTCTCTCAATTGTTTCAAGAGGTACGACCATGCTTTGATAATGGTTTGGGAATAATGGATCAAAAAGATTTGCTTTCAACGTAATTAATTTCTTTAGTCTTTGTTTCACTAATACTGAAGGATAATTTAACACGTGTTATCGCGTATGATCTTTAAATAACTTGGCCTAGTCATGCATACTTTCATACCTAATCCTTGTCATGATCATATGAACGTTTGTTTAATCTCCTTATGATTATTTAAGGGGGCGGGCGGGTAGCCTATTGGATAAAGCGTTCTCTCGTCACGCCGAAGACCCGGGTTCGATTACCGACATGGGTACAATGTGTGAAGCCCATTTCTGGTGTCCCCCGCCGTGATATTTCTGGAATTATGCTAAAAGCCGGGTAAAACCATACTCACCCACACACTCACTATGATTATTTAAATAGTTTTGTCGCCTTTACTTATTATTATAATCCCGTATTATCATCACTTGTTTGCCATCACAATTGTGTGATTGACGGTTTTGCAAAAGCGACACGCACACCACACTGAAACCTTATTTCCGTATTATGCCTGTGTATGTGTTGCTGAGGTTGGCCTGACATAAATCGACATAAATCTAGTAAGCAGCTTGCAGGGCGGACCGAGGAGACTATTAGCTAAGGTCTGGGGATCTGCTCAGCATGAAAACGTCTCTCAATAAGAGGTAAGACAATGGCTTGGAATAAACTGAACTGAACTGAGAATAATTAATGTAAACGGTTCAGTTTCAGACTGTGTGGGCATACGTATAACCTGCATATCCGTAACGACACACAACATGGCGACATGGTGAAAATAATGAAAATCGATTGGTAGGGAAATTGCGTTGTTTCGAAACAATCAGTGGGCCGTAAAGGACCATAGGTATAGGTACATCTCCACATTCAAAGGTTCAGATAATTGTACCAGATATATCTTATGATTATCGAAAGGGTTTTGTCGCTTTTCGGTACAGAATAAAGTAAAACACACTGGTGATTTTGAACCTGGTTGATGTGACTCACGTTTCTCCTTTTCCACAGCTGTTGACAATATGGCGTAATAACGAATGATGCTTGGGATTAGATATAACCTGCTCACAAAATCATGCCAGTATATGGATCACACATAATCATTTCTCTGCTGGCTTAAGGTGCCATAGATTGCCAGCGGTCTTCTTTTAAATATTAATTATCATGATAAATAATATAAATATTTCTTCCTTGTTGTAATAGGTGAGATCGCATGAGAGGAGGGCCATGTATGCTGCGTATGCGCCGACGCTTCTTCTTATTACTCATCTATCACACAGTATGTACACTACACCGTCCAGGGTAGCTTGAGTTTGCTCTGTTGTTTGTATGCAGCTGTTGTACCATGGGGTACTCTATCAGCGTTTTCAAGTGTTTTTGTGTTATCTGCATTGTGTAAAGTATAACACGTTACAATTACCGACATCAGACATATATCGATTCAAAATGACTTTCAACACTAGATGTCATTAACGTCCAATAAATTCTCTTCAGTTATAATCGATAATGACTATTCTTTGGCGTTTATAGTGAATGACATTTTGCGAACATTAGGAGGTATATAAGGTTGTATCTTCAAGCCGTGTTTCTACAAGAATGTATTGTCTGTAATTGTCAGGAATTCGGACATTTACCTCTTTAACAACCGATTTGAAGAGATATTTCCCGGAAACCCTTTTGATATAGACATGACTGTATGAGTACCCATTAAGTTTGATAGTCGGTTACTTTTGAAAATATAATATCAGACCCCAAAGTCATCAAAGTATCTACAAATATAAATGTTTTTTATTTGCATGGCTTGCCGGTTGTTTAAAAAAACACACAAGTGACATCAGTTGCCAAATGATGGTAAAGGAGAAGTACAGTTAAAGTATGGGATTAATCATTTATATTGAAACAAGTATTTTGAATAAGAATCTAAATAATGTCATTATGCCAACAAAAAACTCTTAATATTTCGTTGCAATTTCGCTCAATTAGCTATCATCCAACATGATTTGTGAATAAATTAAGAGAAGCCTTTCCTGCAGATGCTAACACATACAAGCGTTTCAAATGTGAAGACTATGACGTGATTATGTGAATGTATAGGCGCCAGAACTGTGCCAAATACAAGCATGTAGATTGGTCAATTTGGATAGCCCTTGGTAATTCGTGTACATAGGTAGTTAGTTAATCTTAACACTGAATGCAAAATATATCTTC